TAATTCAATATAAATAAATATAAAACAACTGCAAATGGCATTGGTGTGAAAGCCCAGTCTCACATTCACCTCTTCAAGAATAAAGAACTTAACTGCTTAAAGCTGAAATGGGCACTTAATCTGACATTTGTGCAATGAGAAAATGTACAAACAAGATCAAAAAATATCGCAAAAACTTTTTCTTCAAAAATGGTTACAGAAGTCATCAGTGTTCATGTCACATTAGTTATTATTGCTCCAGTTAAAATGTAACACTGCTATGAAATGTTCATTATGTTTAGTCACACGTTCTCATTTCACAATGTAAGATGAGTGCCGTTGGTTTCCAGAAAGGATTAAAAATAAATGACTTTTATGACACTGAAGTTGTTTTTTGTCCCATGAATGTGTGAACAAAACCTGCAGAAATAAATAAAACCACAATATTTATGTGAACAAACCTCTTTTGAAAATTGTTTAAATCAGGATTTTGGTCCTTGGTGTCAGTCTTTGGCTGTTTTTGGTGTTTTTTTTTTTGTTTATCTCTTGTGTTAATACTGTGTGTTACCTGGTGCTTTGCAGTGTTAAAGCTGTCAATCGGAGTCTACACCTCTGCATTTGGAAAGTTAGTTTGTTAGAATATTTTTTGTATTTTTTTTAACTTTTTTTGGTTGTTTTTCAGTTTTTCTAAAAAATAACAAATATTTAACAAACGTTCAGTAATGTGCATGCACTGTCTGTAACTATTCCAAAAAAATGTTATGGCCGCTTTTGTTAGCATGTTGAGAAGAAGAAAAAAAAAAGTGGGTTTGGTGATTTTACACTTTTCCAACTCCCCCCATCCCAAATAATGTAAAAACAGATAATGCTATCACTACATACAAAATGGTTGATGAATTATGGCTCTATACCAACAACACAAGTATGCTGAAAAGAAGCATGCCGAAATAACCTCTGTGACAGTGCAAATACATTTATGTATGTCCCTTGTACAAAACATTTAGGTTAGCATTCCGCGCAACATGCTAGTTCTCAGAAAAGATCTGGGTCGGACTCAAGTAGCAGCTCTGAGATATAGCTTGTGTCTTTTTCTTGAGGACAAAGGGAAGTAAAACTTATAGAACTACGAGGGATCTACCACTAACACACAGAATAGAAAAGCAGCTTGGAAAAAAAGATAACACTTCTTTTTTTT